ATCTATCATCTATCTATCTATCTATCTATCATCTATCATCTATGTATTTGCAGTGCTAGGCATCAAACACAGAGCTTTGTGCATGCTAGGCAAGCATTCTACTACTTGGTTACATCCTCAGCTCATGCAATTTATATTAAATCCATTTCAAATACAATGGCATAGGCAAATTGAAAAGAAAGCACATGAAGTGAAATCATGCAAGTGTTTACAATCAGGAATGGTTAGGCTGTATTACTATCACACAGACTATAGAGCAAGGAAATTAGTTGCTATGAGAAAAGACATTATGTAATGATAACAGTATCAATCAGCTAAGATGTGATTGTGGTGCCCCTAATTGAGTATGCACCAAACACATTTGAAAGCCTCAAAATACACAAATAAAAAGCTGATCATGGGGCTGGACATTCACAAAGCCCTGGGTTGAATCCTCAGTATTGAATAAACAAGACATGGAGACATACATCTGTAATCCTGGTGCTTGGCTGGTAGAGGAAGGAGGATCAGAAGTTCAAGGTCATCCTCAACTGTGTAGTGAGTTTGAGGTCAGCCTTGAATACTTGAGACCCTGTCTAAATAATTAACTCATTAATTTAAAATAATGTATATGTGTAATTATCTTTGGTGCTATGTGTTTTAAATATTTTTACTGTATCATTTGTGGGACCCTGTCTCAAAAAATTAAACAAACAAAAAAATCAAGGTTAAAAAAGGGAGGTTCTGCCTTTTTTTGTGGTGCCTACTAGGCAGTCAGCTGCATCAAGATGAAGCTCAATATCTCCTTCCCAGCCATCGGTTGTCAGAAACTCCTTGAAGTGAACGATGAATGCAAACTTCATATTTTTTATGAGAAGTACATGGTCGCAGCAGTTGTTGCTGATGCCCTAGGTGAAGAGTGGAAGGGTTATGTGGTCTGAGTCAGTAGTGGAAATGACAAACAAGGTTTTCCCAAGCAGCAGGGTGTATTGACCCATGGCAGAGTATGTCTGCTGCTGAGTAAGGGATGTTCTTGTTACAGACAAAAGAGGACTGGAGAGAGAAAGTGCAAGTCTGTTCAGGGATGCATTGTGGACGCCAATCTGAGTGTTCTCTACTTGATTATTGTAAAAAAAGGAGAGAAAGATATTCCTGAACTGACAGGTACCACTGTACCTTGGTGGTTGGGGCCCAAAACAGCTAGCAGAATTTGCAAACTTTGTCAGAAAGCCCTTGAACAAAGATCGTAAGAAGGCCAGGAAAAAAACACCCAAGATTCAGCATCTTATTACACTCCGTGACCTACAACCCAAATGCCCATGTATTGCTCTGAAGAATCAACAGACCAAGAAAATAAGGAGGAGGCTGCAGAAGACACTGAACTGTTGGCCAAGAGAGTGAAGGAAGCCAACCAAAGAAAAGTGCCAGGAACATTTTGCCAAGAAATGCAGGCTGTCCTCACTGAGAACTTCTACTTCCAAGTCTGAGTCTAGTCAAAAAGAATCTTTAAAAGTAACAAATAAATATGATCAAACCTTGAAAACAAAGTTGGAGGGAGATTTTGTAGGGCATAGTGGTACCCAGCACTTGGGAGGCAGAGGTAGGTGGATGTCTGTGAATTCAAGGCCAACCTGGTCTACACAGCCAGTTTCAGGTCAGCTGGGGCTACAGGGAAATCTTGTCTCAAAAAGAAAAGGGTAAGGGTTCTTTACAAAATGCATCTTACTAAGTTGAAGAATCAGATCTGAAAGGCTGAATACTGTCTATAGCCACACCATACTGGGTGGCCCAATATCCTTTGAAAGGTTGCGTTAAGTATGATCACAAGTCTGAAATTCTGGAAAAGGCAAAATTATAGAGTCAGCTGCCAGGGAGCAGTGGGAGACAAAAGCGCATAGCATAGAGGATATTCAGAACAGTGAATCTATTCTGTGTGGTATGACAATATTGGGTACATGTCATTATATGTTTGTTGAAATTCATAGGATGTTCACTGTTAAGAGGGCTGAAGGTGGAGCTCAGTGGTAAAGCATTTGATCAACAGGCCTGGGGCTCTAGGTTCCATTTCTAGTGTAGAAAAAAGCAAAAACAAACAAAAGAATGGTCTCTAATATAAACTATGGCCTTGAGTGATAATGGTGTGTCTTAAGTCAGTATGTGCCTACTGACAATAACAAACATAATGCTCCAGTGCACAGTGTTCATAGTGGGGGAGGCTGTACATGTGAAGGGAGGGGTGTATGGAAAACCTAGTTTTGTTTTCCTTGAGGCAGAAGCTCATTTAACTCAGGCTGGTTTCAAACTCCTTCTGCAATGAACAATAGCCTTGAACTCTTGTCCTCCTGTTTCCATCTCCCCAGTGCTGGGATTATACGTTAATTGCCATCATGTCTGGCTGTTCAGTTTTTTTTTTGTTGTTGTTGTTTTAGTTTTTTTCTATTTTATTGTTTTTAAAATTAATTTATTTTTTGGTGGTTTCATACATACGCATATGTGTATACACACACATATATGTGTGTGTATGTATGTAATGAATTCAGGTTCTGATCATCATCGCACCCTCTCTTAAGTTCTCTTTAGAGATAGGGTCTCATGCACAGCAGGTTGGCTTCTAATTCACTATGTAGCCTAAAGTGATCTTGAACCTCTTTTTTACATTGATTGACTGAGTGAGATGTGTGTGTGTGTGTGTGTGTGTGTGTGTGTGTATAGTATATGCATGTGTTCCTGTGGGTAAATTAGAGAAAACGATTGTATTTTAACCTTATTTGTATTCTCCTTTGTCCCATACCCTCCCCAAAAGCTCAAGTCTAATACAGATTATTTTACAAAATATAATAGAAAAACTTCTGTCCCAAATTGGCATACCACTAGGGAACATTAACATGAAGAATAGACTAATGGTAGCATGGCAAGGCACATCCACAATACCTGCACTAAGGAAGCTGAGGCAAAGTTTCCAAGTTTAAGAGCATCCTAGGGTACAGAGAGCGACCCATCTCAAAAACAAACTGGTGAGATGTCTCAGTTAAGTGAGCTTTCTGCTCTTCCAGAGGACCCAAGTTCAGTTTCCAGCACCCACATAAGGTGGCTCATAACCACCTGAAACTCCAGTTCCAGGGGATCTGACAATCTCGCCTAGCCTCTGTAGGCACTTCCACACATATGTGGCATACATTCACACACACGCACACATACACACACACATAAATAAATAATAATTTTTTTAAAACAAAACAAAGAGTGAGAGACTACTTATTATGCAAATGCATTTATTTGAACTATGTTGCTACTGGGTTACAGGACTTTTCAGAGTTAGAGTAACATAATTGTCTTAAGAACTATAGCAAAGAGCTTGACAAAGCAGGAGTACATCAAGTCCAACATACATACATTTACTTTTTAGTGCCCACCTCTCCTTGTTATAGGTGTAAAATTTAAAAATATATTGTACACTTAGCATACTTGGCTTATTGAATCCCTGTCTAAGTTATGAGCTAACTCTCTCCTCAAAAATGTCATATTCAACAGCATTTTAAATTCAAAGAGAGCGTTACTGATATAGGTTCCAAAGCAAATAAGCATGCATTGAACCAACATATTAAAGACAAAAAATTTCATCTGTTTACAGCTTGGGTATGAAGGGGAAGATACAACCTTAGGGTTCAGTTTTTCCTCTACCTATAATGTATGCTTGTTTACTCACTTGAAGATCCCCTTAAAAAAAGTAGCAAAATCAGCAGACTTGTTGAATGTAATCAAAATATTCTTAAATGTACAAAAAATAATCATGTAGAAAGAATACTGTAAAAAGATACTGATTTTAAGAATAAAAGAATAAGAAAAGCTTCTATTACATTCTGCACAGCCAGTTACTTTGGCAAATTTTCAGTATACAAAGTAAGCAAAGGATACTCATCTCCACATACTTTCTGACTATAGTTCTCCAGTAAGAACTGGAAGACTGCATGGAAAGAAAAATGACTAGCTAATAATATTTGCATCAACCCATCTAAGCAAGTCACAAGAGACGGACATTCTAAACGGGAAAAGGTACATAGAGAGAAATACATATAGCAATGGGCAATGTCAAAGGCGGCATTCCAGGAGCAGAGAGTGAAAAGGGTTCACTGTGAGCATGGTTCAGGTGTGCTGGACAGATCCATCGGACAGATCTATTGGAAAGAGGAGTTGTTTGCTACTAAAACTCTTTCCCTGAAGGCTGTCTTGATGAGCTGGTCTTGTTAATGAAATCTAAAAGTCCTTTAATTGACCAAGAATTCCTTAAGCCATGAGCACTTACCAGGAAATAGCTGACTTGCTAATCATGCACCTGGGAATAAGGGTGCTTTTATTCAGATTGGTTAGTTTATACTCTCTTCATCCCCCGGCCCATCAAACATGCAAACACGGTCATGACCATCTTGGGCTTTACTTCCACGAGGTCTTCAGGGAGAGCATATACTCTAGCTCCAATTCTTCTAGCCATCGACACTGCATACCTATTTTTTGAGAAAACAAAAATTAAGATGAGATTTTTGTTTTTCAAGGACACCATTTGAGACATCTACTTCCTCTTATGCAATCATTTGGCTGGGATGCAAAGTTTCTGTATTGAAAATGCAAATCAGAGAGCCAGGCATGGTGGTTCATGCTTATAATCTTAGTAATCAGGAGGCAGAGGGAAGAGGATTGCTCCAAATTTGAGGGCAGCGAGAGCTACACTGAGATCTTCTCTCAAAAAAACCCAAAATACCTCTGCTGCCCTGGGCCTGCACGACCTGCAGGCCTCTCTCTGACCTGCAGGCCTCTCTCCAGGGTAAGTGGATCTCGTCCTCCACGCCTTCACTCCCCCAGCCTCATTCACCCTCCCATCTCCCCCGCTGGTCTCTCCTCCTAGCCTGGGTCCTGTCCCATTCCTTGTCTTGGCCCTCCAGACACCTGGGGAACCACCACTGCTGCCTGATCCTTTGCATCCAGACCAACTCAGTTCCTTTTCCGGTCCCCAGGAACCCTTGGGGCCTGGCCCTGCCCTCACCTCCCTCTGCCTCCCTGAGCTTGCACAACCCACCAGCCTCTTTCCTGGACCCTAGGGCTGACCTTTCCTCTTCCTGGTCCTTTGTATCCAGACCAACCCAGCTCCTCAGTGCAGTCCCCAGGAGCCCTTGGGGTCTCCTCCTGCCCCCATCTCCCTTTACATCTCTGGGTGGCATGACCACCAGCTGCCCTAGACCAGCATCTTTCCTGGGCCCTGCTCCCAGCAAAACACTTAGGGCCGCTTCCCGCCCCCATCTTCCTTTGCATCTCTGGGTGGCACAGCCACCAGCTGCCCTAGGGCAGCATCGTTCCTGGTCCCAGCTCCCAGGCCAGTCCAACCCCCAAATTCCCGAGGCCAAAATCTTTCCTGGAGGGATCCAGACCTTAGGAGAAAGCCTGAGAGCCTGTGATCCTCATCCGACTTGGGCCTCTATGGGAACTCCTGAAGACAAAAGCAATCTGGCCACTCCAATATAAAATCAAAAGATAGAACTGGAAGCTTAGAAGAACCAGCTTTTCATGCCCAAAAAGTAAACCACAAAGACACATAAAATTTACAAAAAGAAGCAGACCTAAATTTGAAGGAATGAGTCTCACACAAGAATCAGAAACTACAAAAGAAATTCACATGTCAAGATCACAGAGAAAAAATAAACGTCATAAATCGTATAAATGGGGCTGAAAGACAAGAACCACATGGTCATCTCAATAGATGCAGAGAAGGCCTTTGACAAAATTCAACATGCATTTATGTTCAAAGTCTTAGAGAGAGTTAGACTGGAGGGAACATACCTCAACCTAATAAAAGCCATATATATAAACCCACAGCTAAAATCATTCTAAATGGAGAAAAACTGGAAGCATTCCCAGTGAAATCAGGAACCAGACAAGGCTGTCCACTATCTCCACTTCTCTTTAACATAGTGCTTGAAACTCTTGCAAGAGCAATAAGACAAGAGCAAGAAATTAAAGGAGTAATCATTGGAAAATAAGAGATCAAATTATCCCTTTTTGCACATGATATGATATTATATCTAAGAGATGCCAAAAAATTCCACCAGAAAACTCCTAGAAATTATTAACTCGCTCAGTTAAGTGGCCAGTTACAAAATTAACCTACAAAAGTCTGTAGCCTTTCTATATAACAATAACAAGCAATCAGAGAAAGAGCACATGGAAACACTCCCCTTCACAATAGCTGCAAAGTAAATAAAATATCTCACAATAAACCTGACCAAAGACATTAAAGAATTCTACAAAGAAAGTTTTAAATCTTTACAGAAAGAGATTGAGGAAGACAACAGAAGATGGAAGGACCTCCCATGCTCATGGATTTGGAGGATTAAAATAATATTGTGAAAATGGCCATCCTAATAAAAAGCCATTTATACATTCAATGCAATGCCAATTATAATCCTCATGACATTCTTCACAGAATTGGAAAAAAAAATCCTAAGATTCATATGGAAGCACAAAAGAACTCGGATAGCCAAAGCAGCCCTGAGCATTAAGAACAATGCTGGGGGAATTACCATACCAGATTTTAAATTGTATTACAGAGCCATAGCCATAAAAACAACATGGTACTGTCACAAAAAATAGACCCCTATATCAATGGAACAAAATTGAAGACCAAAATATGAGTACATGCAATTTCATCCACCTGATATTTGACAAAGGGGCCAAGAATATTCACTGGAGGAAAGACAGCATGTTTAGCAAATGGTGCTGGCAATACTGGATCTCCACCTGTAGAAGAATGAAACCAAAACCCTGTATTTCACCCTGCATAAAAGTCAATTCCAAATGGATCAAAGACCTCAATGTAAAGCCTGGAACTCTGAAACTGTTAGAAGAAAACATTGGGAAAAACCTACAAGATATAGGTGTAGGAAAGGATTTTCTAAACCGGACATCAATTGCTCAGGAAACAAGGGCAAGAATTAACAAATGGGACCTCGTTAAACTAAAAACCTTCTGGACATCAAAGGAGGCAATCAGAGAAGTGAACAGAAAACCCACAGAACAGGAGAGCATCTTTACCAGCGACACATCTGACAGGTTTAATATCCAAAATATATAACGAACTCAAAAAACAGAGAATCAAGACAAGAAGTAACCCAATTAAAAGATGGGCTAAGGAGATGAACAGAGAGTTCTCAAAAGAAGTAAAGATGGCTATGAAGCATCTTAAAAGATGTTCAACATCACTAATAATTAGGGAAATGCAAATTAAACCACTTTAAGATTGTATCTTACCCCAGTCAGACTGGCTTAGATCAAGAAAACGAATGATACCAAATGTTGGAGAGGATGTGGGGAAAGGGGAACATTACCTAGATGCAGGAGTAACACTCATACACATAAAATAAAAATAATAAGATATTAGAAAAAAAACTAAAGATGAACCTCCCATATGATCCAGTGATGCCACTCCTTGGCATATAGAAAGGACTCATCATACTGTAGAGATACCTGTACATCCATGTTTGTTGCTGCTTTTCATAATAGCTAAGAAATGAAAAGAACCTAAATATCCCTCAATTGACGAATGGTTAATGAAAATGTGGTACATCTACTCATTGGAGTTCTACTCAGCATTAAGTAAAGGTGAAATTATGAAAGTTGCAGGTAAATGGATGGAACTAGAGAGTGTTATACCAAGTGAAGTAACACAGAGTCAGAAAAAAAAATTGACATATGTTCTCTCTCATATGTGGATCCTAGAACCAAACCCTGATAAGTGAGTATGTATCCAGACATAACTACAGGAACCAGGATAATGGAAAGGAAACAGGGAGGTAAAGGAAAAGAAAGAACCTGAAAGAGAAGAACAGTAGGAAACAGGCCTTAATAAGGGAGATATGGATAAAAATTGGGTTAGTTTAAGGGAGGTGTGAGGGAAGGGTATACAAGGAACATAGGGGAGAAAGGGAAAGAAGGAGCTCAAGAGAGGCAGGACCAGAGGAGAAAGGTATTAGTAAGGGAGAAAGGGGGAAATGGGGGCACCTTAAGTGGGAAAACCATGATGGAGGGGTAAGACAATGCGAGAGATAAATAATGCCTCGCTAGTTTTAAAAACCAGAGGGAAACATATTACTCGTAGAACCTACTGACAAATTATACATAGTAGATCAGGAAATATATGTCTAGGTAAGGTTTATCTGAGAACAACTGGCCTTTGCCCAAGATTTATCTATATGACACACAGTAATTAAAAGTACCAGACTGGTGGAATTAACCTTCTTGGGTATTTAACAGACATACTTTGAGACCTATAATAATTTGGTCAGAGGGACATAAAGGACACTTTTTGCTCCTAG